AAGGCCCAATATGAGGTTGTAGGCAGTCAATTCCTCGACCACCAGAAACTTGACGACCATGTGTCGTCCTTCCCCTTTGCCTCCCAGCCGGATGGGTAAGTCAATCCTACCCACCGGATGCACTACCCCACCTCCAAAGCCGACTAGGGGGTGGGGAGCTTTGTGCATACTGCTGGGCTTGTACTTTAGCCTTGCCAAGCAGCGATAGCTTATTAGGTCAGACGAGCTCCCGGTATCGATTAAGATCCGGCTATCTCGGTGATTGACAACTTTACATTCAATGACGATAGGGTCATCGTGGGGCCGCCCGACCATACCCCTGTCCTTCTCAGAGATGAAGACCTCAGGGAAGGTGTCTTTCGACGCTTGGCCCTCATCCTCTGAGGTGGACAACTTCCTGATGTTGTCCTTGGCACCCCGGATGGTGGGACCACCGCTAGCGAAGCCGCCTGCAATGGTGTAGATTTGCTCCTCATCAGTGTCTGAGCTTACAACCGGCTTCTTTGACGGTTGTCCACCGTTTTTGGGGTTACCCTTGGACTTCGTCAGATAGGACTTCAAAGACTCCTCATCAGCCAATCGGTCCAATAGCTGCCTGAGGCTGTAGCAACCATTGGTGTCATGGCCAATGTCCTCATGGAATTGACAATACTTTCTCTTGTCCCGATTTTTGACAGCACTCTTCAAAGGAGCCGACTTCTCAATGGTCAACCGGATTTTTATCTCCATGAGGATGGAGGAGCAGTCCTTGTTGAACTCGTACTTGGGGATGTACGGTTCCAACTTCTTTTGCTTCTTCTGAGACGATTGACCTGGGCGGTCAGCTGCCCAGACTTCTTTTCTTTTCTTTTCTTCTTTTTTGGCCGGCTGTTGGAACCGACTCTCTTTATTGTCAGACCGCCTGGGTTCTGACGAGTGCTTGATGGCATAGAGTTCCGTCGCCTGTATGTAGGCTTCGGCCTCCATTAGTGCCTCTTGGAGGGTAGCAACCCTCTTGCGGACCAGGTCGAACTTGAATGTTGACCCATCCTTCAGACCCTTGAAGAAATCTGTGTACGCAACTTCGTCATACAGTCCTTGTATCTGAATTCTGATCAGATTGAACCGCCTGACATAGGACCGAAGTCCCTCCTTGTCTCCCTCCCGGATAGCCCCTAGGTCGAGACTGGTCTTCTTGGCAGGGATGTTCATGGAGAAGTTGGACGCAAACAGATATGCAAGCGCCTTAAATTTATTGATACACCCAGCCGGTAGGTTGCCGAACCACCGTTGGGCTATGCCCTTCAGCGTTGCTGGGAAGCATCGACACCAGGCAGTGTCATCCAACCCCTGTAGGTACATGAGGTTCCGGGTTGGTGGTACCGTCGTAGGTACCTACCAACACGTTCTTAACCTTGGCCGGCTGCGCCGCCTCGGTTATCTCCCGGGAGAAAGCCGAAGGCTGTTCCCCTAGGTTTAGCAGCCGGAGCTGCCAGTCCATGGGCTGGACGGTGTTTGCCGCCATTCCCCCAAAGGGAGACAGCTGCATATAGGGTGATCCGATTCCATATGGTTGTTGAGGCACATATGGGACCTGATGGATCACATGAAGAGCAGTACGAACGGACGTGCCGTGTGACTGGCTCCTTGGGTGGGTTTCCAAATGCTTAATCGAAGAATTGCGAAAACTATTTGGGTAGGTCGACGTAGAAGCCGACTGAGACATGCTCTGACTTCTCTTCTCCTGGATTAGCAACCGGGCATCAGAGAAGGTCTTCTTTGACCCATCCGACTGTATGTGCCGGATGGCCTTTCGCTGCCCTAATTCAGGGAAACAAATTTTTGAAAGATCGATCAAGGGCCCATCCGCCCCCTTAGGCTTCGGGTGAGGAGTAGGCACCCGGTCTTTAATTGGCTTCTTCACGGAAGCCTTCTTGGCCGACTGGCCCTTGCTGGAGCCAGTTGACTTCTTGATAATGTCCTTGATTTCCCCTTTAAAACTAGTCATGAGATTCATGAGTTCGTCCCTGGTGACGGGGGTAGCCCCCTCCGCCGCCTGGGGTTGTCTAGGGTGCTTGCCGCCTGGGTTTTTGGGGCAAGCTTTGTCTTGGTCCCGTTCCTTCCTTTCCTTGGAACGGGTGCGCCTAGAACGGAAAGACCCGTTTGGGGCCATATAGGTTTTGACATTGTAGTCGTCACCGCTTCCACTTTCGTGGTCCGTATGGACCTCAGGGTCAGCCGTGGGTCGGCTGCCCTCTACAATTGGTACATTTTTAGATGTCATCTCAGTGGTACTCTCCCCACAGACGGCGCCAAATGTTTCGGGGTTTTTTGAGGTGTCCTACGAGAGAGTTACAATATCGGGAATGCACGCCTGACTTCTGTACCTGCAAAACCACGAAACTCCGGTTGGGTGGAGTTCCGCCTCCGAAGATCAAGTTAGTATGATTCCGGATGAGATTATGTGCGGAAAGTAAACGGGTATTTCTCTCGGATTCTGGGAGATTCCACAATTAATATTGCTCAGGTTTTGTATGTGTATTTATGAATGCCAATAAATGAGGTAGATTCCTCTATTTATAGCAGATGAATATCTGCTCCCCCATTGGGGTACAATGCCACGTGGCATCCATTGGTTGGATGCCCATGGTGCTATAGGGAGGTGACACGTGTCAGGTCCTCATTGGGCCACGTGTCTAGGGTAATTTTTACCCTAAACATGTTGCATGTATATAAAAAAGTTCTTAGTACATGTTTCATGGAAAATTGTATTGATCTGAGGCACATAGGTAAACATTGATACAAAGTAGTGATTCTCTGCTTGCATCAGCTTTTGCTTTAGTGATGTATGATGTTCTTTCCTGCAGAAGGCATTTCATTAACCCGTGACAATCACATTGATTCAATTTGTTGTTGGGTCAGTGCTTGAATGGACTAATAGACTACATTGACTTGCCTTTGTGCTTGTGTCTTCATTCGTTGGCTCATCTCGAACCTATTGTTGTAATGCAGCGATCCGTTGCTGTAGCTGATAGGTTTATTTTATCTCTGCTGTATAGGTTGATTTTGATGGAAGTTTTGTTCCTGCTACTGATGATGAGCTTATGGAAGTCAAGGATTTGTTGGAGTTGGAAAAGAGTGATATGCTTTCTATACTTGATGTTGTAGAGACAGTAGCACATATTGCACAGGATTATTTTGGCATTTTTGTTCTAGCTAAAATGCAGAATTGTCGTTGATAACTACCTCATTCAATGGTAGTTTGAAATATTTATCTTCAAGAATAATGATTGTCATGGTCATGCCCATCCCTATCTACTATCCCAATCCAATAATGATAATCATGTTGTAATATTCAGGTTCATTTAATTTGGAAGTATATTTATTTTTTATGCTTCTAATCCTGAAATCATGATCTGTTAGGTTTTTCAGAAATCAAGCTCACCAAAGTTGATGAAGAGAACTTCAGAGCTCAGGCTGAGGTAATCTTTTATTTATTGAGTTACAATATGCCTTGTCTGTGACACTTGAAGATTCAAAGGTGTTGAATTTCTTATTTTAGCATGAGTTTTGGTATTTAACTATCCGAAGTATTACGAAAATGATGTAGTTTAGAACCAAATAGCCGGAAGTTTACTTGGTAGAACACTATCATTATTATTGCCCATATTCTTACCTTGTACCAAACGAGTTGTTAGGAGACCTATGCTAGGCTGCCTTGCTTTTGATATTTCATTGACTATGGCTCTTCATGTAGAGATTTTGTATTTCTGACTGATTTATTTTTCATTTCATTGGATTGATGAAATGATGAATTGATAAGTGCTGCCTAGATGTTGGTTCTATGCTACATGATGAAAGAAAATTTTGGCAAAAGAGTTGTCTTGAACTTTTTTTTTTTTAAAAAAAAATAACGTTCTGAGTCTTGAGAATCCTCAGGTATATTTCTTCATCTCTCTCAAATTATATATTTGCATAGTTTAATTACTAGTTAGGATCTGCAAAATTCCATTTTTATTCTTTTAGTTACTTCACATTGTTTATATTATAGGAAATTTGATGGGTTTTTTTAGCAATTTGTTTGCTTTCTTTAATGTTCTTGAGTTGATTATGTTGTAATTTTGTTAACATAAGTAGGTTAATGTTCTTGAGTTAACAATAATGACCACAGGTCCTGATTGTCTCTTCTTTCTTGTAGCTATATTTGCTGTTGTTGATGCTTTTCGTACTGGTCTAGTTTAGAGAATTGAGGTCTTTAAAAGCTGATCACTATCCTAGTCTGGTGGCTGAGGTAAACCTCTTTCCACAATTTATGTTAATGTTGTTGACTTTATGGGACTAGCAAGATGGTTTATTGATAAGCTAAGTGGGCAGAGTAGTTTATAACTTTAAAAGGCTAATTTTATTCATTGGATGTGTCATTTCTTCAAGGAATTGCTAATGAGTAAGATGTCATTGAAATAATTAAAAGCCTAGTATGAGGATTGAGGACTGCAACGTGCCTTAGTTTGCTCAAAAGGGGTAAATGTTCATGTAAACATTTTGAAGCTAATTTCTGAGCCTACTCCTTGATGCTAATTACATTAAGAGGGCCATCTGTGCTGTTTCATAACTTTAAGCCTGGGTAACTGAAAGTCGAAAACTTGTTAATTGATTTTAGGTGTCAAATAAACAGGAATAGTGCTAGGAATTGAAGTACGTTGTATAAAACATCTAGGTCTGTCTAGAGAAGAGAGAAATGAACCTTAGTTGGCAGAGGAATTTTGATTTCACAAGAAGCTAAGATGACTTCTAGTATATTCATTGATTCATGTATTCATCTTTTATCTTGATCCATTCCTGGGCTGCCTCTAAGGTTTGTGGTTGGTCCGTAAGTACATCAATCATGGAACGCATGAACCTGGCTAACCTCAAAGTGGCTGTTATTTCTTTGATTTTATTTTTATGATGCATGTTCTCACTATGTCTGCTGCTCTGTTTTGATGTCGATTTGCTGCTGACTCTTCTTTTGTGAATTATTTAGATGAATGAAAATGAAGGAGATAGTCAAGAACTCCATAGGAACAAGAGTAAGCTCACTTCCTACATTACATGCTACATTAATTTTCACAGCAACAACGATAACAATGCTGAAGTCCCAAAAGTTAAATATTTAATCTTCTTTTTCATGTCTTAATTTCTTTGTACAATAACTAAAGCTTTTGTCTTGTGCTTGCAGATGGAGAATTGTCTACTAGAACCAGGTAACAACAAATGGAGATTGAAGTGTTTTTTTAAAAAAAAAAAAAAAAAAAAAATCCTCATTACATGAAAATTTATAAATGTTTTTTTGTTTTAAATTTATTATTAGAACTGTGGCGAGATACCTGCGTCGAGTAATCCAAAGAAAGAAGCAGGAAGGTGTAGAAGGTGTTACCCTGCTACCCATTGTTAAACATAAAACCAAGAGGGAAAATGTTTTCAATCTACAGTATTCACTCTGTACCTTGCTTTGGATTTTCCTCTAATTTTCTGTGCTATTTGAAAGGGAACAAACTAAAGTTTTGTAGTTTTCTTCAATTTTAATAAAGTACTATTGAAAATCCAACTGGGAATTGATTTAGTGTGCTTATATGGTGTACACGCTCTTTGTAGTGGGTTCAGTTTTGTTACTAACTAGTTAGCATAGCTCATCTGTTCTCTGTGTTTGCCTGACTCTAATATGCAAGAACATATTTTTTTTTTCTATTCCATCAATCTGGAACTTCTTGCAGGACTCTATACCTAAATCTGCATCAAGTTATAAAGACAGACTTGTAAAGGAATCTGTGAACAACGGAGAGGAGTCAAGCTCTAGCCCTAATGATGGACTAAACAAAAATGGATCTTCTGGTTCCAAACCTAACTTTTCTTTGGTAAAGGGTGAGATAGATCTGGACAAATTAACTACTAAAGAACTTCATGAAACATTCAGAGCTACATTTGGGCGCAGAACTTTTGTCAAAGACAAGATGTGGCTAAAACGAAGAATTGCAATGGGATTGACCAATTCTTGTGATGTTACTGTGACAAGTTTTATAATCAACGATGGGAAGCTTATGAAGAAAGAAGAACTTGGTAATAACTTGGATAGTGGAAATTCAGTAGCTGGAGAGGTCTGAAATGCCGGGAATAATGAGCCGGTTAACTTAGCTGCTCCAAATGTAAGGGAGGATACCTTAAAAGTTGAATTGGGGAATTCATTTACTGAATCCAGTAGTAGAAGTGATGATCACCTTGATCACAGAGCTGCAAAACGAGACAGGAAGCCTACAAAAAGATATATAGAAGAATCATCTGATACAAAAAAAGACTTTGGTGGAAAGTCAACGTCTCCATCCAAGCATTTTGGACAGGATAAAGCTTCTTGCAAGGAAGCAGTCAAAACCTGCATGGGGTGTTCATTCTGGTGATTTTATCACTAGGCCTGATTCAATTGGAGGATCTGGTGTTCAGGTCCCATACGTTTCTCGGATTCGGAGATGTCATCCCAGAAAAAGTATAATGGCCCTTACGGTATGGAAAATTTTCAAAGTAGAACATTGAGCTTACATGTTTAATTAGATTAGAACTTCTTACATGTGTCAGTTAGATTATAACTTGTTATTTTATTTTATATGTTTCTCGGATTCATTTACATGTTTATTTATTTTATATTTATTTTTTTGGACAAAAATTGTAATATTACAGCTTTTTTTAATGAAAATATGTAACTTTATATATATGTTAATGTTTATATATCAATTTATGTGAAAAAATGCAAAAAAAAAAAAAAATAAATAAATAAAATTTTGGGGCATTTTTGGCACCGGTTTTAAAGTAGAACCGGTGCTAAAAGTTTTGTTTTTTTATTTTTTAGGGGACTTTTTCGCACCGGTTCAAAGCAAGAAACGGTGCTAAAAGTTTTTTCTTTAACTTTTTGGGGGACTTTTTTGCACCAGTTCAAAGCAAGAACCGGTGCGAAAACTAAGTTTTCACACCGATTTTGAACCGGTGCGAAAAGTCTTGGGTTTTGGCATACCTCAAATCAGAACCGATTCAAAACCGGTGCTAAATGGGGGTTTTGAACCAGTGCTGATTACCAATTTTCGCCTAGTGAGACCAAATTTACAATTGCCGCGTCGTGGCGAACCACTGACCTAAAAGACGATTTCGCGCTACCTCCCGGTGCAGTAGACAAGAAGCGGTCGTCCTCCAGGATAAGCACGGCGCCGGAGTTTATGTGCACTCACAAACCCGACTGGAACTCAGAATACTTGCCCAAAATCAAAGGAGTATTTTTAAAGTGAAAGGGGATTTTTGATTTTTTGTGTGTCTATTCAAAATTGGGAATGCTAAAAAATATATATCAATCGATGGAAGGATATGGCAACAACCTATTAAAAAGAAAACGACCAGCATTTTAAGAGGAGTAACTTTCTCCTAATACTGGCTAGCATTTTAAGAAAACGGCCAGCAACAACCTATTAAAAAGAAAAAGGCTAGCATTTTAAGAGGAGTAACTTTAAGGGTGGCTGCTGTTGGTGGTGCTGGCGTGGTGGTATTCAATTTTGGATGGCTTCTGGTGGGCAACAGTTGCGAGGTGGCTGTTGTTGGTGGTGCCGGCGTGGTGGTATTCAATTTATTAATTAGCTTTACTTTCTCTCTCCTACCCTAAATTATCTATCTTTTAATTCCTTAATCAGATATTATGAAATTTTTGTCTTAACATCTGTGTTAAGGTGAAAGTTACAACTAACTTAAACCGAAGGTAATACAAAGTATACGGTAGGATATACCGCGACACAAAGTTCGTAAACAAAAGCGAACTTGTTAAAGAACGACGAAACCGCCGCACTATGATTCAAAAAATTTGTAAAATTCAAATGGCTGAAAAGTAAAGCGGGAAGCAGCATTCCACGTCATCTATCCATAATCTACAATCCGTGTAAAATCTCATAAACAATCTTCAACCGTAGATATAACCATATAACAGTCCACTCAACAACGGTCAAGATTTCATTCCTCACTCCCACCCTTATTTCATCCCTCTTTATAAAACAACCTCTCATTACTCTCCAGAATACCAACAATCCCGCCTTCATCATTCTCTTCCATACATTCTCTCTCTAAAAAACCTCAATCAACTTTCTCTCTCTAAAAAGCTTAACTTTCTCTCTCATCTTCAACAATGGCGCGAACCAAGCAAACCGCCAGAAAATCCACCGGAGGAAAGGCCCCAAGAAAGCAACTCGCCACCAAGGCAGCCCGGAAGTCAGCCCCAGCCACCGGCGGAGTGAAGAAGCCCCACCGTTTCAGACCCGGAACCGTTGCGCTTCGTGAGATCAGGAAGTACCAGAAGAGCACTGAGCTTCTCATCAGGAAGCTTCCATTCCAGAGGCTTGTCAGAGAAATTGCTCAGGATTTCAAGACTGATCTTCGTTTCCAGAGCTCTGCTGTTGCCGCTCTTCAGGAGGCTGCCGAGGCGTACTTGGTGGGTCTGTTTGAGGATACTAACCTCTGCGCTATTCATGCTAAGAGGGTTACTATTATGCCTAAGGATATTCAGCTTGCCCGAAGGATTCGTGGTGAGAGGGCTTGATTTCTGTTTGAATTGGAATATCTAGGGTTAGGGTTTTGCGAAAGTATTAGTAATAGTATGAATTTCCAGTTGATTTATCTCGAATCTAAGCTGGTCAGTAGAATTTCTATTATGTAGTTGGTATATGTACTTGTGAATCTTAATCAATGAAAGTGTTACTGTTCTAATTAATTGTTCGTTACAATCTGTTTTTTTTTTTTTTTTTTTGTTATCTGTTATTAATTTTTCCAATTTGTTTTGATAATTATAAACACAAAATAGAAATAATTTAATGGTAAATCTGTGGTGGATTTTAAATTTTTATTTAGTTTTGTGCATTTAAGTTAATAGATGTACTGTCTCCCTATGAAGTGTCTTTGTGATTGAGAGGGAAATAAGCAATGCTAATATGATTACAAAATCTTATACCTATTCTTCTGAATTGTTTTAGATATAGATGAGTATCAAACATTTGAGATGGTTGGAGAACAAGAATCACAAGTTTCTTAAGTTTATTAGAGACAACTGATCTGTTGAATCTGAGATCTAGTAGTTGTTCCTTGTACATATTCTATTAATTCTCTTGATGAGTTATTGGCAGTTTCATAGGTACAATTGAGTTGTGATGGTAGAATACCTGGATATTAAACACTTATTGTGAAATGAATCGGTGCTTGTACTTGGGACTGTAAGAGAGGGGTCATACATAGGTAGTGTAGTTTATTGGCATTTCCTGAGTTCTTAGACTTTGGATTGAGACCGTATAACTTTGATGTAACTATGTAAGTAGCGTATTGGTGATACTATATACTCTGGATTCCCGAGTCTTGGATTTTGTTGATAGAATTTAATTATAATCTGGTGTTGTGCATCCAACTTTAATGCATGACTGTAAGTCTGTAAGTTGGCAGTGGAAGCTAATTTAGGCCACCGGTTTGGCTTTTTGGTGATGCTTGCTTTTGCCTGTTGGTGTGTAAGCTGTAATTTTAAGATTTTGGTTTGGAGCTTGAGGCTTGAGAGTGGGGCATAACTCATATAAGCCTATAACATACTCTAGTGTGCCTGGTGCCTTAAACTCAGCTGGAGGGCTGTATTGGTGTTAAATGGTGCTAGAATCTTCAACAAAGGTTTGTATTCTGTTGGCAGTGGCCTGATGAGCTGTAAACTGACATTCATGCAGGGAACTTTGATTGGTGATGTGTACTGTACCCAAATATGAGACTGTATCTGCGATTCTGAGTGTTTGAGCAACATTCATTAATCATTAGTGGAGGAGTCGTATGTAGGCAGTTAAGTTTATAGGCATTCCCAGAGTTGTTAGACTTTGGAAAGACTGTATAAAAGTTAGTAAGCATTGATGTGCATTTTTGAGTCCCAGACTCAGAGATGAGGCTGTAATTTGGTATATGTATTTGTGCATTTTTATTATTATGTAGTTGGTATATGTACTTGTGAATATTAATCAATGGAAATATTTTCTGTTCTAAACTTCTTATTGATTAATTTTTTTTGGTTATTTCAATTTTATTTATTTTCTTAAAGCTGGTCGAATTGATTTTGGTAAATTTTATGCTTAAATCTGAAGTAAATTATGTTGAATCATATGGCTGGGTTTTAATCTCTGTTTATCCAGTGATTTTAGTTTAATACTTTAATACTCATTGAAGTACTTTTTTTTTGGCATGTCACTAAACTTAAAAGGTTACTGAAGGAGAAATCAGCAATGCTAATATGCTGAACCTTTAGGAAACTCTTGTACCAAATCTTCTGAATAGATCTGAATGCTGAATACGAGTAACAAACATATGAGATAATTAAGATCAAGGGCTGCAATTTTCTTAGAATTATCGTTATAGAGCTTCCACAATTGTTCGTTGAATCTGATCTATGATTTGTATGCAATTGTTCATCATACTGATTGTATCAAATGCTTAAGTGGTTTCTTGCACTATTGCAGTCTTCATGAGATAATAGTAGGTTTACAGGAAGTACTGAGGCTTTGATCACAGTATACTTGGTGTTTTAAACACTATAGAGGGTCAAATTGGTGCTCTTAAATAAGATTTTAGGAGAGGGGTCATACAAGCGCAGTGCGTAGCTTTTTTTGGCATTTCTAGAGTTCTTTGATTTTGGACCAATACTGTATAATTGTATACAACAAGTAAGCCTTGGACTCAGACTCTCAGAGGCAGGGAAGTAATTTGGTGATTACATTATACTCCGGATTCTTGATTCTTGGATTCTGTTTATGGGAAGTAATTGTAATCTGGTGTTGGGCATCCAATTTTGGTGCAAGACTGTAAGTTAAGTGAGGCCGGTTTGGCAGTTTTGGTGAAGCTTGCTTATTTGCATAGGCTAAAATTTTAAGATTCTGGTTTGGTATTTGAGGCTCTAGGGCAGGGTATAACCGTATAAGCCTATATCATCACGATGTATGTACTCTACTGAGCCTGGAGCTGGTGCCTTAAACTCAGTTGGATACCAGGCTGTACAGGTGTTGATAGAAACTTCAACAAGGGTTTGTATTCTGATGGTAGTGGCCCTGTGAACTTATACTGATATTCATGCAGAGGACTCCATTGACGATGTGGACTGCTGCACTGTACTCAGCTGATGGCCTGTATCTGTGATTCTGAATGTTGTGTGAGCAGCATTCATTAAAGATTTAAAGGAGGCTCTTTAAGGTAATAAGGTGAAAGCGAAAGAAGCACTTTGAGATGAAATCCCTGATAGATTAAAAGCTTAGCTTACAGTTGAATTTTGTTATATACGAATACATTCGAGCATTTTGTTGTAGAAATGCAGGTGATATGGCCACTGCTTTATGACTTAATTACTTGTGGACAGCATGCCAAGGTAATCCGTTAATCTGGGGACAAGAGAACCCATCCATCTCATTAAAAATAGTCATATTCAAATTCGCCAATCCTTGTATAAGATCCACTTTCTTTGGATGTCCATAACAGGGATTACCTGAGGTTTTTAAAGTCTGAATCACCTCATCTGAATTCTAAGAAAAATTGGTCGATGAGGAATATTGTACATACATCACATTGATTATCGAAAATTTGAAATTACTAATTTCTGCCTTCAAGTTAACCTGCGATGAGCTTTTTTTTTGGTTGACTCTTACAGGTCTCAAAGAGCAACTAACTAACTAACAATAATCAGTAGAGAATCTCCTCCCCAAATTTGACTAGTAATAGAACATCTTTAAACAGACTTATCATTATAATTTACTCAATTAAGGCATGTATACTTAATTATTATCTATCTGATATCACTAATTTACCATTGGAGCGGATTTTATTGAACAAACCCCAAGGGCAGTTGACATATCTTGTCATCTTGACTGTGCAATTACGTTTCAGATCAGATCAGAGAGACATACCGGTCCTAAAAACTACGATTAATTCCTTAAATTGTACCCATAACACCATTATTCCCTTTGGAGATGTTAAACAGTGTACTTTTGAAACTTAACTTTGAGGCCTCAAATTGCTTTTACTAGTCACTAACAACACATTCTGTATATATCTTAGAGTTTATAAGGAGTAAAAAGTTTAGAAGCATATTTCATGGAACACAAAGTTAAATGCTAATATAAAGACTGACAATTAGTATTATTATAATTCTCTGTAATACAAATAGCACAGTAGTAACGGCCATCTATAACTTGATATTAACTTAGGTATAAAGGATATAAATATAGTATATAGTGGAAAAAGAATGAAATCATAATATTTTCTTTCTTAATATCCATAATTGGTGTAGGTAGGGGCTTCGTCCAGTGAGTTTGGAATATAACCACCGGAGTTTCTTAACTCGACTACGGAGTAGTATGTGATGGAGTTTAATAGCTTGGAGTATAGGCTGGTGGGGGGCATGATGAGTGGTCCTTGTCACTTGCTTCAGGAGTGTAGGTTGATGGAGTGTATGATGTAGCCTTGTAGCTCGACGGCTTGTATGTAGGAGCCTCGTAGCTTGATTTTGGAGCGTAGGCTGATGGGGTGTAAGCCGGAGCCTCATAGCTCGATTTTGGAGTGTAGGTTGATGGGGTGTATGATGGAGCCTTGTAACTCGAGTTAGGAGTGTAGGTTGATGGGGTGTATGATGGAGCCTTGTAACTCGAGTTAGGAGTGTAGGTTGATGGGGTGTATGTAGGAGCCTTGTTACTCGATTTTTTGTGGTATGCTGGATAGTTTTCGCATTTTGCCTTAGAAGTGTAAGCAAAAATGGGAACGGAATACAATTCCAAGTTGTATGCATTTTGGTACCCTGCAAGATGCTCGGTATAGATGAGGGGAGCTCCAGTTCGTCCTAGGTGCACGTTCGTTGCAACGTTACATGTCTTTGACGAAGAGCTTTTAAGGGAAACTTTGCAATCAGTTGGCTTCAAATGGTCACCAAGTTGTTCAGGAGTAAATGTAGCTAAGAAGTAACCATTTTTGTCTGTTTTAGGGGTTAACATGGAGAATTTAGCTTCCTTGTATCCATGCTTAGCCTTTGCTTCACAAGAGATTGTGGCTACGGCTCCTGCTCACAATCAAATTACATGAAATAATATTAATCTCAAGATAAAGCATAAGTCAACAAAATTATACCCGTTCCTTATTATATATAGAGCACTCTTACATCGTATTAAGTGTCATGTGCTCCATATATAAGATCTCAATCGAGATCTTATGTCCTATATATAAATATATCTCATCTTATGCATCACCTTTTTATGTGTTGATTGGTTACATCACCAACTCAAATGATGCTATTTTTATTATATTATCATTCAGTCAATGTAAATGATGTAGCACGTCGATAAATAAGGAAATGCAAGATAAAATAAATCATGGAAATATGGAATATACTAATTTCATTAAGACATGTTTTACCCTAGATTTATCCTTCACAATATCATAAGAAGTAATAACTAATGTTGATTATTGACAATCTTATGAAATTATTGTTTCTATTTTGGACGACTATAATTTTAGACTTTTAGTAATTTGAAAAACTCGTTGCAACTTAAACCATTCTAAGTTCTAACCCTCGTATATCAGATGCAGCAATGTGTAAGAACAACTATTTATCTAATTAATAATCCATCATATTAAAATTGTACGTAGAAGAGCATACCTTCAATTGGTGTGTAGTCATAACATGAACTACAGTAAATGACACCTTGCACACCATAAAGGGTAGGTAGGTCCTTTTCTTGAGTGTAATAGTTTTTGTTCTCATATGTTGGAGAGGAGGTTGATGGGGTTTTGTAGGTAGAAGATGGGTTGTAATCTGGGGATTGAGAGTATGAAGGGACATCATTCTTTGGGGAAGGCAAGTAAGATGTAGCTGGGGTGTCTACGGTTTCATATTCTGGAGATGGCTTGTACTCCGGAGTTTGGGTGTATGATGGAGTTTCGTACTCAGATGAATATGTGTAAGCTGGGGCTGGAGTGTATGGTGGTGTTTCACACTTAGGAGATGGGCTATAAGCCAGGGTTTCATTGCTGTATGTTGGAGTATCATACTTCGGTGAAGAGTTGTAAACTGGGGTTGGGGTGTATGATGAGTCTTCATATTTAGGAGATGGGTTGTAGACTGGGGAGTTAGTGTATGATGGGGTCTCATACTTAGGAGATGGGCTGTAGACTGGGGAGTTAGTGTATGATGGGGTCTCATACTTAGCTGGTGGGCTGTAAGATGGAGTTGGGCTATATACCGGTGTTTCATATGTAGGAGCTGGGCTGTAGGTGGGGGTTGAGGTGTATGATGGTGTCTCATCCTTAGGTGAGGGACTGTAGACCGGGGTTGGAGTGTATTCTGAGGTTTCATATTTAGGAGATGGGCTGTATGATGGGGTTGGGGTGTATGATGGAGTCTCATACACAGGTGATGGGCTGTAAGATGGAGATGGAGTGTATGATGGAGTCTCATACACAGGTGAGGGGCTGTAAGAAGGAGATGGAGTGTATGACGGAGTCTCATCATACACAGGAGATGGAGTGTATGATGGAGTCTCATACACAGGTGAGGGGCTGTAAGAAGGAGATGGAGTGTATGACGGAGTCTCATCATACACAGGAGATGGGCTGTAAGATGGAGATGGAGTGTATGCTGGAGTCTCATACACGGGAGATGGGCTGTAAGATGGAGATGGAGTGTATGTTGGAGTTTCATACACGGGAGATGGAGTGTATGATGGAGTTTCATACACAGGTGATGGGCTGTAAGATGGAGTCTCATATGTAGGAGATGGGCTGTTCACTGGGGTAGGGGTGTATGATGGGGTTTCATACATTGGAGATGGACTATATTCCGGGGTTTGGGTGTATGATGGGGACTCGTTTACAGGAGTTGGAGTGTATGATGGAGTCTCATACTCCGAAGAAGTTGGTGTATCCTCGCTAGCATATGCTACAACAAACGATGACAAAAGAAGCAAAGTGGCCAAGGAAAGGATGCGCAAGAGACCCATTTTACAATTGATGGTTTCCTAAGAAAGTGTACTACCTAGTGATGCTCTACAACATAACACTTTGTTGCTTTATATATGGTAACTTTGCCGGTTAAACTTAATTCTTTAATACTTAGTTGGATTTAGCATCTTTGTCGTAGTTATCCAAATCATTAGTTATATTGTTGCACGACTGCAGGCGAAGCTCATTACATATAGGCGACAATTCGTGGGCAGCATGAATTGGTATATTTTATGATGTATCTCAACAATATCTCCAACAGTATGATGTATAGGATTTTGGTGGAATATTCTAAGGAAATCAGAAGAATTTGGTGCAACATATGTCTTGTAGTCGCAGTTTATTGTGTATGATGTATTTTATTTAAATGATAAAAAAGTGAGAGAACTTGGTGTAATTTCTTATAGTCGTAGTTATAACGGTCCTATTTTTATTAAAGAGATTATAATATCGCATCATGTCAACTTATCATCATAATTAATTTTTTTCGAACTTGTACAAGCTAAAATATTGAAGAGATTAATAATAGATATTGCCGCTTATACGAGACACATACCCTTAGGGTCTGTGATTTACTGAACTGATTGGAGCTGAACTGAATAGAGTCGAAATGAATATTTTATGAGAGAAGGAAATTAGGAACAAAACTGAACTGATTGGAGCTGAACTGAACTGAACTGAAATTAAGCTGAAGAGAACAGACCCTTAATTTCTCCTTTGTTTTTTCTTTTGGTTTACGTCGACTTCTATGTTACAATTCTTATAATGCAAAAGCTTGATTATTAATAATTCTAATTGTGCTTATGTAAATTTTATAAATATAAATGGTTGACTAGACAATCCCAATAAGTATTTTTACTGTTTTACATGGTAATATTTGTTTTTGTGTATTAGTGAAGATTATTGTCAAGGACTCAAGGTAATAATACATAAAAATTAAGAAATTAAGAATAGTGCAAATAAGCAAATACTTACATTAATTACAAGTATGTAGGATTTTGATCTTAGTTGTATGAAACAATGAAATTCTCAATCATCAACTTCTTTATTATAAGTCGTTCAAGATATATTGTAATTTTTGTAAAATACATATTGAGATCACGATTTAATTTTAACAAAACTTCACATCATTATGTTTAATTTTAACTTTCAGGGTTAGTACATGAGACTCGTTGTCAAAATTGAGCTCTTTGATGATCAACCAAGACTACAATGAGTATGGGTACATCATTTGGAAATGGAGGGTATACAAGAAGTACAAATGTACAATCATATTAACATATCATGATATCGATGATTTGATCAGGTCTAACTTATATTTTGATCTTACGACTAAACTTAGAGCTTATTAGTACATAATCCATAAGATAAATATAATTAATAAACGAGATGTCTTCATGTGTATTTTCCAACTACAAATTATTTAAGATTTTCTAAATTTCATAAGTAAATGCAAAATTGATATAATTTGGTTTAACCTGATTTGATTTGATCATTTATGAGATAAACCAATATTCGTTTAAATGAATGAACTGAACATACGTGAAATCGTGAACCAACCTGCCTTATGCTTTAGAATTAGAATTTGTTTAAATTCAATAATAATTCCGAATTAAAAGAGCCATATAAACAAACAAATCATCATCCTAATAAATCAAATTAAAACCTTTTTTTTTTGGTGTTTAGAGAGCCATAAAAGCGAGATGAGAAACGATTCCAAGATTGAAGTAGGAGAGAAACTCTAACCACTTGAACTATCCATCACTCTCATCAAATTAAAACTTTAGAGTATTAAGAAATAACTGACAAGATCTTATTTTATGTAAGCAGTAAGCCACATCCATTCCTCAATAATTTAACGTTATGTTCCATTGACGATAATGTTACATTAAAAAACTAAAAACAAATATTATCTGAAGTTTTCAATTTATTTTAATAAGATTAACAATAAAATAATTTTCTGACACAATGCAACTTCATACAATAACAATTTGAAGTATGTTAATTTTCTAAAGTCTTAATAATAACCTCAAGTCCTCAACTATGCAAGCATGAACTATTCTTCAATGGACTCAATCACTCAATAGACATAATCGGTCGATCTCCCCACCGGCCCATCTCTTATCTTCTCTAAGGTTAACACAAACTTGGGTTCCCTATGTTGAAAATTGTCAATCTTAAAAACTTGTGTTCTCTTAGGAAATGTAACTATTAAGTATTAACCCCATTAGCAAATCAATTTTTTTTTTTTATTTATTTTAACCTTCATTAATGGCTTAATGCTATGAATGATAGTAACAAAGAATAGAGGTTTTACCTCTTTTTTTTTTAATCAGAAACTAATAAAGTTAAGCTATCCAAATGGGTTGTTTTGAGGAACTTTAACTGTGTTTTACTCAAATGTAAAAATAAATTGTTGTTATGTTAATTTCAATGTAAATCATCAAAATAAAGTTTAACTTTTTTTAAGTTTTTCAAATACATATTACTTTCTCCGTCCTATAATATAATTCCTGTTTTTCTATTTTGGAGATCCAAAATGTTGTTCTTGTTTCTATTTTTGGATAGTATATAAAGACTATTATACCCTCATTTTTATAACATTATTCACTATACTTCCTAAATTACCCTTGAATTTTGCACATGTCAAGTACTTTTTCCACTTTCTCTCTAACTTTTTTATATAATTGTACTTTTCACTTTTATCTATGTACTTTATCTACTCTCTTCCTATTTTTTAAATACCGTGAAAAAACACAGATAAAAACTATATTATGGGACAGAGCACGGAGGGAGTAGGTAAATAAAGTTATTAGTCAAAACAATGTATGTATTGTAAAACAATAGTACGTAATATATGAATTGAGGGTGTCTTGCCTTCATAATGAGTTTCTCCAAAAGTGGAGATGCCTAAACAAATTCAGCCCATCCAAGTAGGCTTTCATCACCCCTTGCTATAACATAGAATTCCATATGCTTGAGGTTTCATCACCCCGGACTTGCGGTTTTGGCCTGTATGCTTCTTGAAGACAGTTGCTGTTATTCTCCCATCAGACAATTGTGATATTTTATAGATGTATTGTTGTATGCTTTATTATTTTCCTTTTTCTGGGCTGAGTAGAGAGAGATTATGTGAATAAGATAACTAAGTTTATTTCATGCACACCTACACGATTCTCTTTAGGTGATTTGTAAGAATGTCATAGTGACCATAAGTTCGTAATTCATATATGTGCACCATTAGTCCATTGCACACTGCAAACTACAATACTTCTGCTCATTTTTGTCCTCTTTTGTTGCGTGTTTGAAAAATCAAAGTTCCTTTTAAAAAAAATTCTAGTGAATAAACATTACTGCATATTACGGAGTAAAATCAACCATTTATACAACTGACTCAATTTATACAATTAGTCATTTAGATAGGAAATAGCCCTTGTAATCTCTGGTTGCTGCCACAGGCAGTCTGAGCTTAGTGTAAAATTTGATATGGTAACTGAACATATGTAGTCTAGCACATTATCATCTTCCTCAGAATCATTGTACTTTAATCACTCTTCATTGCTCATGTTTCGGGTTGAATCAAAATCTCAAAAGTACAATTACAAATCTCCTAGACTATCAATACTATGGAGTATCAATTTTCAATCAGTCAATCACAATTCACATTCATTCCACACCATTCAATTTCAAATTTGACCAAGTTACAATATCATTTGATTGTTAACAACTTAATAATTTGGAAAATCGAAAGACCCATTTGCCTAAAAGAAGAAATTAGACCAATTCGCAAAAAATATCCAATATTATAGCATCATGACCAAGTTTTAACCAAACCTCAAATAAGCCCAATTTCAATCAATCCCAAATACAGGAAGAAAACAAACAATTAAAACATTATTCCATAGTATACGAATTAAACCATTCTTTAGCCACAATTATTTCACAACACTACCACAAATCCAGCAGATAGATAGCATTAAAATTAAAGTAATATCAACAAGCAATTAAGAAATGTCACCATTTTCATTGATTAAAATTCACAATACATATACCAATACATAATGAAACTACTATCACTACTACCCAGATAAGATTTCAGATTTATCAACTGAAACATCATCAAACTACAACTACCATTATCACAAAACACTAACCCTAGAAATTCAAATTCAATCAAATTCCCCAATTAAGCTCTCTCACCACGAATCCTTCGGGCAAGCTGAATATCCTTAGGCATAATAGTAACCCTCTTAGCATGAATAGCGCAGAGGTTAGTATCCTCAAACAGACCCACCAAGTACGCTTCGGCAGCCTCCTGAAGAGCGGCAACAGCAGAGCTCTGGAAACGAAGATCAGTCTTGAAATCCTGAGCAATTTCTCTGACAAGCCTCTGGAATGGAAGCTTCCTGATGAGAAGCTCAGTGCTCTTCTGGTACTTCCTGATCTCACGAAGCGCAACGGTTCCGGGTCTGAAACGGTGGGGCTTCTTCACTCCGCCGGTGGCTGGGGCTGACTTCCGAGCTGCCTTGGTGGCGAGTTGCTTTCTTGGGGCCTTTCCTCCGGTGGATTTTCTGGCGGTTTGCTTGGTTCGTGCCATTGTTGATGTTGAGAGAGAGAGTGAAGGTTCTAGAGAGAGAAAGTTAGGGGTTGCAGAGAATGATAGATGAAGGATGGGGTGAGATTGTGAGTGATTTGGGAGTGAGAAAGAGAGCGGTTATTTATAGGGAGGTGGTTTTGAAAATCGAGGTTGTGAGAGGAAGGATGTGGAGCGTTGATTTGGGGGTATAATCGACGGTTTTAGTTGGATTTGGGGTTGGGCACACGGATTACGGATTTGGGGGTTAGTTATTGGCGGTACAGTGGTTTAAAAGGAAATTCAAAGGTTTTGGTTTGGCGGGAAGTGGAATTGGAAGGAGGGGAGGTGAAATTTTAAGGGTTTGAATTTAAACGGTTTTGTGGACTCCCTCCAAAAATAATCTTAAAAAATGAACCACCAATGCTCTATGTGACAATGTATACCAA